AAAAATTCTGCGCTCCAAAATTATTATCCACTAGGTAGCTATTATTCCAGACAATATGTATTATAAACATTTTAAATGGAATCTTACTAGCTATTGTAGGGATAGTCTAATTATAAAATTTTTATTACCTAGAGTCTAGGTCCTAGACTCTAGTAGGTGACCAGTTATTTCCTGRTTCCGGCTGGTCTTCTAACTGGTATATATCTAAATATTCTAAATCATTAATACAATTATATATTTTACATAGTACATAYCGYCATACCTACAATTAAGACGCTTTTTTCRGGATTAACTCGAAAACGGCTKGACCGTTTCAGCTAATTTTCATTATGTTTGTTCATAATTTCCAGGATAGGGTTTATGATTTAAAAGAAAATTTAAWTAAAATAAATCGCGGAAAAGTAGAGAACCTGGATGGCAAAAATACAATAAAACAGTATCTATCCAGCAAAAAAAAAAAATAATCATATATTATTTTTTTTTTGGTCAAAACCTTACAACTTATTAAAAATGTTATTCAGGACGATGGTTTTTTTATCATTGTCCCAGAAACCTACACATGCTCGTAACAGTCATAACAAACACTATCGCACTCAACGTGTTAATAACACATTCTTACGTACGGATCTCATATAACGTCAGGAAGGTCTTACTCTATTTGTCTACCTGWAAATAGATTGGACGTTTTACTCTTTTACTTTTAGGTAATAATAGTAGGTATACCTTTTTTTTCCAGTTTTGAACCGACGACACCGCGGGAACTGCTTTCGCATTGCTTCCGCGGCGCAGCCATCGTTTATTTGACATTATAMATATAATAGTATGCCTACCTAGAATGATATTATACTGTTGAATTAAAAATTTAAGGCTTTCAATACAGTGACCCACTCCATATATAAGTATTGTACAGTCAAGTGGTACCCATTCACTCACAACTGTTTTTAAAATTCTGAAAGTAACAAAGAATTGATTGATTTTGCAATTATGAGTTATTTTAGTTAAATTTTTTTTTATGCACATAAATAAAGTATATTATAGTAGAAAGTAGTATATAGGTACCTTACAGTCCCCAAAATTGTGTGTAGTATCTACGGCACACTTTTTGTAGTACGAAAAGTGCAGTGTGTAATATGAAAAAATGTATACCAACGATTGTTATTTCATTTGTACACATACCTATGTAATCATAATATAAACATTTGTACACTCCCCAAAATCATCCAAAAAACCGAAAATTCGTGGTGGTGCTAATGTAACGGGCCTTAATTTACATGCTTAATATAAGTAATTTAAATTTATTTTTATTTATTTACTGATGTTATGTATTATTATTTTCATGCATTTTGTATACCTACTAAAAATGAGTTTTATAAAAAAAATTTTTTTCAACAAAATTTCTATTTCACAAATTTACTGATTTGGGACTATATGTGTGTAGTACGRAAATTCGGATATTTTARGGACAAGTTAGATAGTAGATACCAACCTAACCTACCTATTACAGTAGTACCTATCTATTAGTACTTTAGTAGACATATTGTTTGTAATGTTTGTATTATAGAGGTACATAGATACGATTTTTTTTTTATAAGCATAATTTATAGTTCAAATGTTGGCGAMATTCAACATAATAACGAAAATATCCAAATTATTATTTCTTATAAGTCTCATAAAATAATTTAAGTATTTATTTGTATCCAATAAATATAATTAGGTACTTATACGAA